CGATTTCTTTGGGTTACAAAAAGACAGCTGTCAAGTTATGCCTTTGAGAAAACTATTATTTTGAGTATTCAGAATATTCTGCTTTAAAAACAACAAACAAACCAACCTGCAGATACCAAAACCCTTTTTGGTTTCTTTTTAGCGCCGCATGACTGATGTACCAATTATTTACAACTATCTGGAAAAAAACCTTGGTGTTCAGACAAGAAAAACAAAATCATTTCCATCTCACTACTTCTCCGGCCATCCCTCATAGTGAGCACAGCCCTTGCCCCATGCCTGCAGAGAGGGTTTGCAGTGCAGCACTGAGCCCTGCCTGGTCCTGGCTCTGGCAGTGGGACCTTCCTCCACTGTGAGGATTGAGCCCGCAGGGACTGACAGTCAGACATGCTCTGATCTCTCAGCCACAGTAATTTACTTACAATTAGTATTTCTGAATTATCTTGTAAGTGCATTAGCATTTCTCTTACAAACAAACACGTATGAACTGAGCAATTTGATATCTGATAATCTTTTAGCAACTCACACGTGAAAAGCTTCAAATTATATTTTGGTGTGTAAAAAAATCTTTCTCCCTCCTCATTATGCCTATGTTAAAAGGGGTTGATTTACATTAAAAGATGTTGATATTGAGTATGGGATATTTCAGCCTCGAGGAAAGTCTAATGCAATAAACTCTGGATATTTTAGCGTAACAGAAATCCTCGTAACCTTTGCAGTATTTTGTTGCCTTGCTAGTATAGTCTCTCCAGCACTGTTAGAGATGTGTAAATGGGGTGTGTTTGACAGAAGCAGGATAAAACTTAATAATAGGGCTTAACACAACCAAAACCAATTTTCCCAGAGAGCCAGGATTTTGGAGGTGTGGATCAAGACCTGAATTTTGCTGCTCAGACTCACCTCTGATCCTTTTTGTGGGAGATCAGAGCTGTAACACAGTTGTAAGGAAACACTTTCAACCAGCTCAGCTCAGTCTGTCTTTTATTCTCTCTCTTGGGAACTGCAGCATGCACAGAGGATAATAAAACACACAACATGCCAAGAACAGGACACCTGTTTCCATTTTGTTTGGGACTTCTGTCTGCTTACAAAGCAACCTTCCCACTTCTCACAGAAGAATTGGTTTGATACTCATTGCTTCCTCTTGGCCTTGGCATGGCGAGTCTCCATACCGCTGTGCTTGTGATGGGGACAGCCCTGGAGACGTGGAGTACCTGCCAGGCTCTGCTGCTAACAGGGGCTCTGCCATGCAGGATGCTGGCTGGGTTTTGCCAGCTTCTGCATGAAAACACAGAGGGCTCCGTGCATCACAAACACAGAGCCTGACGGTGGTTGTGAGAACTGGAAGCCAGAGTGGTGGCAGGGAAAATTGGAGCTATATCTGGAGAGAGGCAGCCCAGGCTGGCAGGGCCAGCCCTGGTGGGGTGCCTGCAGAAGCTGCTGTGGAATGCTGCCTGCCCTCTGCACAGCTGTACCTGTGGGGACAGAGTGGATTGGGACACTTTGTGTTCAGCAAGAGGTGATAGAGGGGAGACTCAGTGGAAATCTATATAGTCAGGAATAATTCAAAGACAGCAAATGAGAGACTAGTTCACTGTCTCTGTTCTGTTCCTTTTCTATAATCCAACCCCCATAAAATTTTTACATTCTATCACGGCTGCTACTAATGTAATATTAGTTTCCTAAAGCATCTTTTCTTCCTAACAGGACTTTGCACTTTATAATGGAAATATTATCACGTAACCACAGAAATAAAGGCCATAAACATTGTTTATGTTTCATTGACTGAGCATAACTCAGGCTTCCAGTGAGTTCCTTTACAACTGCCACATGTTTTCTTTGCAGATCAAGGATGTAGAAGTCCTCAACTGTGAATATGGCAAGAACACAATTAAGTTCCTGCGCCTTCATAGAGAGGGGAAGAAGCATTTTGTTAAAGAAGTGGAAGTGTGCACACATCTCCGACTGACTTCTGCTCAGGAGTACCTGGAGGGAAACAACTGTCTTGTGATACCTACAGACACCATAAAGAATATTGTCCTTGTGTTAGCCAAAGAAAAAGGGGTATTTTTTTTTTATTTTCCAACTAGTTTTGCTGACTTTTTACGACTTCATTTGGAAATGTTTGTTATACTAACTTCATATTTTTAATCAGCATGTCAGATCAGTACTAAAGTCATCTCCAGTGATTTGGGAGAGTTTTCACCCTCCAGTGCTTATCATGCAGACTCTGCCTTAGCTTTCCAAAGCCTTTTTTTCTTACAGAACTAGAACTATTTTTTGTAGATTTGCTATATAAGATCCATCTTAAAAAAAAAATTAATAGCACATAATAATGCATTAGTCCTACATTATATTTTTAAACAGAGGGTCTCAGAGCATGTGAGACTTCTGCTAACTGTGCTCTTAACCTCCATCAATTGCATCTATCATAACAACAATCTGTAGCGCTAATTGTCTGTCTCTGTAATGAAATCCCATCATTACCCTGTAAAATTAATCAGAATATCACTCTGATTATTATTATCACTCAGCATTATATCCTCAAAGCATAAGGCTCCTGTAGCCATTTCTCTCAGTCCAACGACTGCAGCTTACTGTTCCCCAGAATGTGAGATTTTTGACACAACTGTAGCTGCTATTTGCAGCATGTGCTGGAAGCTGGTCAATGGTTGGGCACAGTGCATCAGGCCAGGAATAAGAGAAACCTCTATTTTTAACAACATTAGCCCTTCCCAAATATTGACAACAACCAGAGCAATATACTTTTGTACATAAGATAATTGCTTCTGTCTAATAACACTGTTTGCTGTCTTAGATCCCAACTTTAGAACAATTTGCTATAGATATCTGCCAACACTTCATGACAACATTTTGCCAAGTGGCATACGTCAAAACCTACGTTCAAGAAGTACCATGGCAACGTCTGCACGAGGTATCTCAAATACTAATACATTCCATTTGATTATGCTGTAGCCATTCCTCACTCTCTTAGCTCATGTTTTCAAGCTAAGAGAGTATTTACAGCACTTTTACTTACACGCCTGCTCTAAATTGCAGAATGGTGTTCCCCACGTCCACTCATTCATACACGTTCCTGACGGGATCCGCTTTTGTGAAGCTGAGCAGTGCCGAAATGGTGAGAAAAGATTTGGCAACTTCCCCTACTTCTCTGTAAATATTTCTGCCAGCGAGAGATGCAGATGGCTTTAGAGATAGCTACCGGTGTTACAAGGCTTATAGCACAGCCAGACAGCTCCAGAGGTTGAAAACAAAGAATACTTTCATAGTCTAATTTTGCAGTTCTTGATCTCTGAGCCGTGGCTGAAGAACTAATGTAGCTCACGTTTGTATGTGTATCCTAAACACAGAATGGTTACAACAGCACATCCAACAGAACTGTTCTATATAGCCACAGGGTTTAATAGCCTTCTGAGAACAGGCTTCTTACATTTCACCTTATACTATATTCTGCAGTCTCCCTTTTATCGTTACGCTATACCAAACTGCTGCAGGCCAATTGCCAAGTTTGCAGTTATTTTCAAACCCCTGTCAACATGCCCTAATTTTATTGCTAAGCAAGCTGCAAATTCATTGCTGCAAGCCAGGCTAGCCTGAACATCGTGAGCACTCAGGTGTAGGTGCAAACAATTTTCAACATGTAAATACTTCAGAGTGTGCTTGCTAATTTTGCACACCATGCATAAACAAAGCATTGTTTGGCTTAACCAAGAGTTCTGTGATACTTAAAATACATAGGCTTTCAAGCTCAACTGTCTGTCCATAAATTGGCATTCCAAAGGGAGTGTAAAAATTATCTCTACTTGCTATGGCTCACATCAAGAGCGTAAGTTTAGTCTCGCTGTGATGGTGTTTCATTTAACCCATCTCTCAGACTAGTGGGAACTGAGCTGAGACCACTACATTGTTAACTACTGCTGTACTTTTGGCAGTCTCAGTAGTATTGACTTTGGTTTCTGGAAAATGTTAAGAAAGAAACCTGAATCAAAAAAGAAAAAAAAAAGAAGGAAAAAGATTTTACACTTTCTTAAAAAGCTGCTGGTCTTTGTGTAGATTGAAGGAAATTGTTCATCATCTTGAAAATTCATCATAAAATTCTGCAATTTCAGTTTCTACCCAAACAAAAAGCATTTAAGGCTTACTGAAGAAACCACCTTTCCCCTTTAGTCTTCTCTTCGTGTAGTCTTTTGGCTGTTTCTTTACGATTCCCTGCCTAGGTGAACAACAAGCACAGAGAAGATTTTCAGATCACTTTTATTTTTATTCTGAGAGAATCTTCTCTATATTTAACATCCTCCTATACACCTATCAGCCGGACACAGGAGTTTATTTTTCAGTTAATCCTATCTTTTAACACTTTTCTCATCATAAAGAGAAACCTAGTAAGGCTTAGTAGAATTATTTTTTGCTGTTATACTGGCTGATAAAAGGCTCAGAGTTTTTTGGAAACTGAAAACATCATAAGTAACATCATAAGAGTCAACATTTGAGAACTGAATACAGCACAAGCACAAAACATACTGAAAGCACAACATGGGCTGTTCACCTTGGAAACTCTGCCTAGGTGTTATATCCTTCAGAGCGAGTTTCAGGTTGATTGCCAGCCAGCATTTCAGCAAATCATTTGTTGCAAGGAGCTCTTTCAAACAGGCTATGCATTTGAATATAAGATAAATATGTCTCCAGGTTCACTGATAGTATCTGCACTACAGTAATACCTGTGTATCACAATCTTATACCCAGCAATAAATTAATCAAGATCTGAACAAACCCCAGAATATCCTGTCCAATGATAGT